GAATTCTGGGAGTTGAAGTCCACACATCTTCAAGCGGCCAAGGTTGAGAAACACTGGTTTAGAGAGAGAAGGATGTTAGCACAGCAAGGCCAAGTCCTGGCTGTTCATATTCCTCTTCTCGCCTGTTCAGATGCACAACTGGGTCCATGTGTCACTTTCTACACAGCTGGCTCCATGCGTCACTTTCAGCCACAACAGATGCGATGACCAGATCGAGTGCTTCCATGCATGGCACGAAGGAACATCTCTGGCTTAACTTCAGATGGCAAATGTTGTGGGCCACACCTGCTTATAACTAGCCCTTCGGTGGGCCGTGCCCTCAAAAAACACCCCCACGTTCCCCAGGCTGTTCCTTGCAAAGGGGATCACCCCCCACAATCACCAGCAGGTCTTGGACTCCATTTGCTGTGGGTCATGAAAAAGAGCACGAGCGTGAACTTCCAGCTGGGAGTGCGCCGATCTCAGAGTTGATGAAATGCTTGTAGGAAAGGTTGATGTAATGGGCTGGGAGAATCACCTTGAGGAACAGGAGGAAGAGCTGCAGCCAAGGCAATGGTCAGATAAGAGAATTCCGAGTCCGAGGCAGAAATGTAATTTGAGGAAGCGCCTCAGACAAGACCCTCCCTAGTTCTCATGAAGATGAAGGGAGGGAGGGTGGAAGCGCATTCAGATTTGCAAGATTCTGTTATTGTAACCCTATAATATAAGCAGTTTTAGTCTTCATAACTTTGGTGTTCCAGTCTGGTCTACCTCGTAGGGCTGACATCAACCTTGCAACTTTCCATGTCTTCCCCCTCCCCTGCCTTCATCCTAAAGACAACTAGGGAGGGCGACTTTTCGGTGACCGCCCTTGAAAAACTGTTGGATAAAATCTTTCCTGCAAGTAAGACATCTTTTCCCCCTCCCTTTTCACCAATCTGGGCCTGCTCTTTTACTGCCAACATTTCTTGGGGTGAAGCTTACAGGGGACCCAACTGGGTTTGCTATGACCGCTAAGAATCGTAGAATGCAAGGGGTGGGAGAGAGCATCTAGTCCACCCTGTGGGTCGATGCAAACATTCACAGCTGCTGCAATCTCGCAGCCCCTAGAATTGGGGGATTCCAAGGGGAAATGAAACCAGGAGGCCAGTTGAAAAGAGAAGAGTTTTATTCTCCAACGAGGTGATCGGATGCCAGAATACAGACAGCATCATGAGTGAATCAGGAAGGACTGTCTCCATTCCCCCTCCCGGCAGCCTAGCAAAGCATCACCTGCGTCCCACCCCCATGACCCCCCATGACACAGACCAGGGGTGGGTTCTGGAGAACAAGATCTGTCCTGCAGCGTCTGCTCTCCTGGTGCTTTGGAAATCTCTTCCCATCGTGTGCTCGCCCCACTTCCACGAAGGCCTCCCCTTGGACGTTGCATCGGAGTGGGCTCGAATGGCTCAAATCGCTCCCCCCGCTGCTCTGAAGGTCCAAGCGACCACGAACGTATTGCCCAAATATGAAAGAACAACCTTCCATAGGAAGAATACTCACTGTTGTACAACCATAGGCTAGATCTGAGGTGGCATTTACCCTGCAGAGGTGACGATGGTTTTATTGCATGCTGGAAGAGCTCGCGGGCCTATTGGATCCCGTCTCGGACACTCTCCGGACCAGACAGGATCTAAAACCAGGGTTGCTATTCCTGGAAGTTGCTCTTGGAGATGGTCCTCCAGTCCTGCACATTGTCACTGGAGATGCCCAAATTTGAATCGGTGACCTTCTCCATGTCATGTCCGTGTTTCCTATCTTTGGAGCTCTGTCGGTCAGCGGTGGATGGGAGATGTATCCCTGAAACCCCCCTTGGAGTAGCGTGGGAGGGCGGCGATACGGTGCTTTGAGGGTCTTTTGATTGATTGGGACCCCCCAAAAGTAAACAGAGAATGATCTGGACTGGAAGAGCCATTCTCCTTTGACAAGGAAGATAGCAAAGAGGGGTAATTCCTCCCGTGGTCTTCCATGTCTTTTTTCTTGACTGGTTCAGCATTCCACCCCTGAGATGACGCAATACCCCATAAGTAGATTATCAGTGACAGCACCAAGGATGATCAGAAAAGTCATCAGAACTGAACTTTAACTTAGAACGGGAAAAGGTCTCTCCCTGGAAAATGTGGCCACAGGAACGCACCTTGACCATGAGAAGTTTTGTCCCATCTGATTGCAGGAGGAGAAGAAGTTGGTCCGAACCTTGCTTTGCTCAGCAAGAGAGGGACGGGGAGAGGATTTTCAGAGCTGGGAAGGAGGATGGAGGTGGATCTTAGGGGGCTGTGGAAGAGAGTGGGATGGGAACCTGAGTTGGTGGGCTGAAATCCAGCGCCTGACATGCTGGAAGGAATGCAGAGGCCTGCAGAGCAATCCATGTTCAGCTTCTGGTGGGCCATGTTGGAAGGGGGGGAAACAGAGAGGTCCTTTCTGGAACCATCTTGTGAAGGTGCGATGAGGGTGTGGATCAAAAGTTATTACAACTGGTGTCTTGAAAAAAAAAAGAAGTTTGTAAAATCCACAGTGGTCATCTCTGTCTAGTTATTAAGACCACCTCACATGGGAGTCCCCCACCCCCCTTGATCATGGCTCTCTGCTTCGGCTCACAAGTAGAGCCCAAGTGATTGATGTGTTGGGGAAGTTGAGTCTGAAGAAGTCCACCCTAGGGATGACGGTGCAGAACAGGACCCTGTCTGTTTCTGGTGGGGCTGGGCCCCCTTCCACCTCCTCTCTGCTGAGAGGGGCAGGTTGTTCTGAGCAGCAAGGTGGAATCCCACTGCTGACACCACAAACAAGGGTTCAGCTAACTCCTCGGTATGGTTCCTGGGATGAAACCATCTGAAGAAACAGAGCAGTGAGCCTCTTGGTCACAGAAGCGGCCCATCACAGAGGTCTTCTGCAGCCCATGGTGTTGAGCAACTGGGACCTCATGATCTGGATGCTGGTCAAAATCTTTCTCTGATGCCCTGAGAGACTGATCCCCAAGTTTTGCACATCCCTACATGAGGAATGGGGGGGGGGGGAAGACAATAAGAATTAGTTAGAATGATTTGATCTTATGGCAAAAGAGGCCTCATTATTTCTCTAAACCTTGTGTTCTCCGGCTACAGAAGGCTTGGTTTTAATATTTCACAGCTGCTTCGAGAATCTTTGGGGCTTGGTGTTTTCTGATTTTTTTCTGTATTACAAAGAGGAAGGAGCCCTGGCATTTTAGAATGAAAAAAAAAACACATTTTGGAGCGAACAACCAATCTTGCCAATTGACGGGGAGAAGATTGTGCGGCGGAAGTCTGGACAGGTCTGATCTTTGTAAGCCGCCCGGAGTTGGGCAGCTAGATACATTCGTTTAATAGATAAATAAATAAGAGCCAGGACCCAGATTCAAGATGGCTGGCTTGCTTCTGCAAACCAGGTTAAAGATGGCTGGCTTGCTTCCTACAGAAGGAAGGATGAGAGGTTAGGACTACAGGGCAAACCACCATTATGGTTCTAGCTTCAGTTTTTGGGGAAGCCTCTCCTGATTCTTCTGGAGTCCACCAAATGCCAGGGCTTGTGGATGGCATCTTAATGCCAACGTTAACCCCGGTGAACCAGAGTTAGGAATGTCAGGAAAGGAAGAGGGCAGCGAAGCCGGTTCTCTAACATCTGCATTTTTCCCCATCCTACAACATCAAGATAGAAGAGAGAGAAACTAACATCTGGCCTCCAATGCTGTCTTGTGTTCATTTCCTTGGAGTTTAATCCTCCCAAACTCCACATAGATTCATGAAGGCGCGTGGCCGAAATGCCCCTGAGAAATGGCCCCAGGGTGCTTCATGGAAGGAACCAAAATATCACGCCTCGCCAAGCAGCTGTGGGGGGAAAGGGGGGCACATGGAGGCAGAGATGCTCTGCAGACAAAGTATGCACAGCAACGGGCCAGCTGTGGTGGGCAACTGACCCTCAACAGGGTTCCCCAGCCTGGAGGGTCCCCAACCCCGGCAGCATCACAGGCCCCTTGTTTCTTCAAGCAGTTGGACTAGATGGCCTCCAGAACCCCCCGACTGTTTTCAGATTAGCTCAAATCGAGAGGAAACGTGGAAGGTTCCCTACCTTGGTGGTGTGTGTGTGTGTGTGTGTGTGTGTGTGTGTGTGTGACAGCCGTCCCGTGGGCACTTACTCAATATTCATCCGCATCACCATGCCAAGTGTGGAGTAGCCGCCCAGGGCGAAATTCTCCTGGTATCGTCCCAGCCGAATGGAGTCCAGCCACTCTTCCACGGAGCTGCAGCGGGTGAAGTCGATGTGGTCCCGCTCGGAGAGCGTTTGGGTGAATCTGCAGCCCGAGAAAGGGGGTGAGTGGAGGAGGGTGGTCCGGAGCGTCCTTTGGGGAAGGAACGGGGTGGAGGCGAGGCACAACTGCGGAGAGATGGCCCGCCTTTACGCAGGATTGCTTGCTGATAGACTGCTCCCCCCCAGAGAAGCTCCACCGAGTTCTCTCCATAGCTCTTTCTTTGATCTACCTTTTATGACTGGCTGGCGTTTTGTCTTTTTACGAAGGGGGAACCGACGTTTGGAAATGACACTTTCGATTGTGGGTTATGATTTGACTGCCTGGAATGGCGGCCTGTCCGGTGGTTTTATTTCATTTTCTTCTATGGGCATTTTGTAGGGGAGGGGTCCTAGAAACCCCACCCTCGTCCTTCTAAGTCTCCGGGGCCGGCCACAGTGACGTCACCTGGGACATGATGTCATAATTTGTGATGGTTGCATTATGAGGTCGTGCTGCAGGTGACATCACTTGAACGGATGAATGGGGACCCGTGCTTGGCTTCTCCTGTTGGATCTTCCAGGCTGATCTTTAGAGTCTGTGTGTGACAGGGAGTTGAACTGGGGGATACACACCTGCGACATGCATGCAGATGGCCACAGGATATGGTCAAGAAAGTCAAGATGGTAGCCCTGATGGTGCAATCAAAGCCTCAAAGCATCGCGCATAAAAAACAGGTGAGTTTTGATGGCCACCATCTTGACTTTTATGACCATACCTTGGAGGCCTCTATAATTTGTTCTGCTGGATTTCCTATCAGGAGCAACAATTCTCTTCCCCCGCTTTTAATAAAGTCTCTTTTCTCTTTGCAGACATGCAAAAGAAGCTCATTCTGTACCTTGTTGGAACATGACTTGCCAAATGAACATAATTTGGGGCGCATTTTGTCTGACATTCTCGTTCTCATTTTCTAGTGCTCTAAAGCAGGGTTCTTTAAGATGTCTGGACTTCAACCCCCAGAATTCCCCAGCCAGCATGCATGGACTTCAATGTGTGGACTCCATGCTGGCTGGGGAATTCTGGGAACTGAAGTCCACGTATGCTGGCTAGGGAATTCTGGGAGTTGAAGTCTGCGCACGCTGGCTGGGGAATTCTGGGGGTTGAAGTCCACACATCTTAAAGTTGCTGAGGCTGAGAAACCCTGCTGTAAAACACATACAAGGACCACGTGTGTATTTGACAGGAGAGCTGGAAGGGTCAAACTGAACTTTCAACCCAAGAAAGAGAATGCTTATCCTTGCTTAATTTTAATCATTGTTTTTTTCATGAGAGGGAGAACAACGGGAGGGCACAGCCAAACATGGCTGATCTTGGAGGGGGGTAATAGCTGGGATGGGACACCACTAGGAAGGGCGCAAACCGGACAGGGAAGCTGAAAATGCTTCTGTAGTCAGAAGTTCAGTTCCGTTCAAGAGAGGTTGATAAGGGAACTCTTGGGGGGCACTGGGAAATCCATGGAGCATCTTAGCCCCCCTTTTCTGAGACCTCTGCCTGCTTTGGCCCCCTTCACCCCCACTTACCGGTTGACCGTGGCTGTACATTTTAAGTTTTGCGGGTTGCGAATCAGCTTGTCCAGGACGCTGAGAATGTGGGAGAAACGAGGCCTCTCGTTGGCATCTCTCTGCCAGCAATTCAGCATCAGCTGGTGCAGGGCCATGGGGCACCCCATCGGAGCGGGGAGCCGGTACCCTTCTTCCACCGACTGAATGACCTACAAAGTGGTTTGCCAGCCTGAGAATCAAATGCTGGAGAAATCAAGAGCACCCATTTTTTTGCGCCTTCGGACAGGAGCTGGGGAGAGGGACATGGGTCCTCCTTGGCACAAGATGCTTAACTTTGAACCCAAGGTTTCTCTTCTCGAAAAGTGACTCAACCTTGGCTCTCGGGCACACATGAGAGGAAGGATAAAATTAGAAGGACACGCTGCTCGAAAAGCAGGAACGGAGAACGAGATAGACCCTGCTCTCAGAAGCTCTGATGATATCAGAATGATATCAGTCCACCGTGGGGTAATCGTGCAATTATGGTGTTGCAAAGCAATTGTGACCTTCTGGTCTGTGTGGCATCATGCCCCTTGCGATGCCCACGCAGCCTCCTTCTCACTCAACCATTACTTGCCCAACAGCTGGGGGGAAAATACACCTGAATTTGAACAGCGGGGCCAGGACAAAACCGAAAATCGATCCCGTTCCATTCCAGCCGTGCGAGTGAATATCTAAAATAAATCCCCATTCCTGTATCAAAGCAGCAATTCTGAACAGGCTCAAGGGTGCCGTGCCCCAGGCTTAGGTGGGCATGAACAGTTCTGGGGCTTCAGGTCTGAACCCCCAGATCACAGACCCATCTCTGCTTACGTCCTGGTTGGTCATGTTCCAATATGGCCGCTCTCCGTAAGCCAGCACTTCCCACATGACGATGCCGTAGCTCCACACGTCGCTGGCCGACGAGAACTTTCGGTACGTAATGGCTTCGGGGGCCGTCCACCGAACAGGGATCTTCCCTCCCTGGAATGCAAAGAGGGTTGACTAGATGACCTCTAAGGTCCCTCCCACGCCTTATTTTCTATCGTTCTGAGTCTGGGGTAAAAACTTAATTTCTTAATTTCTGCTGCCTCCTGCAAACCGAGCATGGGACCACAGGTATTATTTGCATCTCAAGTCAGAGAATTCTTTGTGGGGGGACAATGCGCAGCTTGAAATATGACTGTCATAGGTACCTTTCAAGCCAGATAGTTGTAAACTTACTGAAAGAAGCAGCAGTCAAGGAGAACTGAGGGCCTGGTTCAGCAACATGGGAACTCTATCAGATTCTGAAAAACAGCTTATCTTTTAGAGGCTAGTTGGAAGGGGCAACGTGTGCACTTTGCACGCTGAAAGTCCCAGGTTTGATCTGTAATATCTCCAAATGGTGTGAAAGCCACATCTGAGTGACGGCCAATTCCTTCACAGTCTGATAGGCTAGCCTGTTGGGCTAGACAGGCTGATAGGCTATCCTGTTTTGCCTACACTGATAGTTGAAACTCTAAAAGTTTCTGGGTCAAATACATGGTGACAAATGAGGCTGATGAGAAGCAAGAAGACCAGGAAAACCTAAGCTGGGGAGTGCATGAGAAAGGGGAGAGAGAGAGAGGAAAAGAGAAAGGCAGAAAATTTTCAGAAAGTCCAAGGAGGCAAGGATCCAATCCAGTCTGACTTTAATCAAGCCCATAGGGTAGCAAGTCGCTGTATTGCAAGAGAACACTTACTGTGGTTGTGTAAGCAGCATCTGGGTTGTCCTCCAAGATGCGGGAGAGGCCAAAGTCAGAGACTTTGCAGACCAAGTTGCCGTTGATGAGGATATTGCGAGCCGCCAAGTCACGGTGGACGTAACCCAGATCGGAGAGGTAGCGCATACCAGCGCTGATGCCCCTGAGCATGACGACCAGCTGGAGGACTGTAAATTGCCCATCGTGTTTCTGGAGAAAAACCAATCCATGTGGGTTTTCAGTGGATTGGCACCTCACTGGACAATCCATCTAATTGGCAAAACTATGGTCAAGCCAATCAGGGAAGAAATCAAGGGGAGAAAAAACTGATTGGCTAGCCCCAGGGCTCCTGGAACAGTCCAGACTACTGAAGGGAGAAGCCAATAATGGAGAGAGGAAATTCAAAATCCATTTTCACAGGAAGTCCCTTCCTCCCCTCAAACTCAGCTGTTTTCTACCTGGGTTCAGGAGGAGTAATTGCTGAAAGAGGAATGGTTTTAGGGAGAGGAAATGAGGTCCTTGGTGTCCTTAGCACCGGACACATCAGTGGGAAAGACCTGGAACAGTGATCCAAGCCAATCAGCTTGAGGACTATGATTTTTGGGTTAAGGAGGCATGGGGAAGAAGGATGAATTGACAGCTGTCTAGCATCTCTCCAACATGTACACCTCTGCTTGCTCTTTTCAACCAGGAGCACTGCAGTGTGAAGACATCTTACCCGGAGGAACGAATCCAGTGAGCCGTTCTCCATGTACTCAGTCACAATCATGATTAATTTGCCTGCGGGAGACAAGAGAGATCAAACGATGAGTGAACTTGTATCACTCCGACAGCTTCCTTTGGCAGCTGGCACGGGTTCAAGCTTGGTTAGAAATACCTTACACCTCATTTAGTGGCTGGACAAATGCAGCCAGGAGTGGACTCCCTTGCAGGAGATCAGCGCTGTAGGCAACATTACCATTGGTGTTCCCTAGCCTCCCCCAACCTCTAGACCTGAAGGATCCCCCAGATCTCCATCAACCACAGAACCAGGGACAGATGGAGAATGCATAGGAACTATTATTCCACCCTTGTTCCATGCCAGCACAAGAATTCCATGAGATCTGTGACTTTCTCCCCAAAATGGGGTTGAGTGTTGGGGAAAGAGAATTGGGAATGAAGGAGAAGTTCTCCTACAAATGAGTGGAGTTATCAGGGGCAGGGAGTGGCGCTTAATGAGAGCTGAGCTTGGCTAGAACTGGTGCAACCTCCTGGCTTAAAGCCTCAAAATCAGGAAACCCTTAGTCTTGATCTAGAATTCATTCTACAAGCTCAGGAAATGTATTCGGTTTTGGCCTCAGTGTCTACATCTGCAAAATGGGGGCAATGTCCAGATGGACTTTGCAAGTCATTGCAAGGGGCAATGCACACGAGGACTTGCTATCTTTGCAAAGGGATGAATCCAGGCACTCTGTAGAAAGGGACAGGACACAGGTGCTGTCAGCCAGGAAACATGACCAGATGAGCTAATTCTACTTTATTGTAAGGCTACATTGATAGAATCTTGAAAGTCTGAAAGTGCAATTCTCCCCCCCCCCCATCTTCTTTACAGCCAGGGAAACTAGGGAGGGACCCTTCTGAACCTCTTTCTCCACCTGTTATGCAGCTGTGGGCTGGGCTCCCTCTTATTTGACCGTTCCTCAGGCAGCATCTCTTTGCCCCGTCTCCCAAGGTCTTTCTCACATACCATTACAGGTGCATTGCCAGATTTTGCTGAACCTCAACTCCCAGGACCCCTCATACCCCAGTAAATACCTACTTTTGGTGACCACCCCTTCCAGATGGATAACATTGGGGTGATCAAACCGGGCCATGATACTGGCTTCACTTAGAAAGTCCCGCCGCTGCTTTTCCGTGTAACCAGATTTCAGGGCCTTGACCGCCACAGGCACCTCTCTTTTTCCAGGAATCTTCAGACGGCCGTAACAAACTTCTCCGGATTCACCTGATGGGCAAGAGAAAGGAGGACCTCCAGTTCAGTGATAAGGCTCTTGGAAATCAGGACGAGCCATTCAAAAGGGTCCCATATGGAGGAGAAAGAGGACGCACCAGAGCCAATGACTCTCTCAATTTTAATCCGAGAGGCTTCGATTTCCCGCGTGACCTCGTGCATGGCCTGGCAAGGGTCTTCGTAGTTGTGTGATTCCACGTAAAATTTGGACTCGGGGAACTTCACTGTTGGAATTCAGGGAGGAACAGGTGAGAAGACACAGAAGGAGGTGCAGAAGATGGTGGCTTGTCTTTGGCAAGGCCCAGTGAGTCCTGACTGGGTTTGCAAAGCCTGTGCTGTGATCTTCACATGTCATGCAATTCCAGACCCCCCGCCCTATCGAGTTGCAAGGGACTGCAAGTGTCCGCTAGTCCAACCCTCTGCAACAGGCAGGAAAACCAACACCACCGTCTTTGGGAGACGGCTGACCACCTCTTCTTAAACACCTCCACAGATGGAGAACCCACAACCTTCCTTGATAGACTCTTGTATTGCTGGATGGATCTTAGTCTAAGGAATTGTTTCCTTATATTTCAGGAAAATCTAGGGAGCTGCAACTTATATTGATTAGTTTGGGTCCTTGTTTCTGTAACCATGGAAACGAGTTCTTGACTCTTTGATATACTTGAACACTGAAAACATGTCTCTTCTCTTCTCCAGATTGTCAAGTTCCTTCAGCCTTGGAAATGTGGTGCCCAGAGTCATACACAAGACTCCAGGTGTGATCTCACCTGTGCAGAGTAGAGACCTGACATGTCAATAATATGATGCTTTTTCTAATGCATAGAATGACTTTCTAGCAGCTCTTGGATGCAAGATAGATAGATAGATGATGATAGATAGGGAGAGATAGATGATGATAGATAGGGAGGGAGGGAGGGAGGGATAGACAGAGAGAGAGAGAGGAAGGGAGGGAGAGATGAAGGGATGGATGGATGGATGGATGGATGGATGGATGGATGGATGGATAGATGGATAGATGGATGGATAGATAGATAGATAGATAGATAGATAGATAGATAGATAGATAGATAGATAGATAGATAGATAGATAG